TAACCAACTTCCAAAATAAAACAAAATAAAAACAAAAAAAAAAAAAACAACAGGAAAAACCCAGACATTATGATACAGACTTATAATTTGCACCGATGTTTTTTCGAAATTCTATAAAGTGAGCGCGAGACATGCGTAGGAAAAAGCTGTTATTGCCACTTGCAGGCATAAAGTTTGTGCAAACGTTTTCAGTATCAGCCATATGCAAAGTTGTCATTTGTGTATAAACTAAGACATCAAAAGATTATATTTTGATTACATGTGTGGAAGCCCAAAAAATTCCTGTACACTGTATTTTTTTTTCTTTTTTTCCTTTCTACTTTTATTTGGTCTGATCTTTAACAGTATATCACTTTACAGCTCTCCGGATGATCAGTGCAAGTGTGACGGTGGTTCAAGGAGGTACCGCTATTTTACCGTGCCATGTCACTGGTACCAATGATGACCTGACACAGATTACCTGGCAGAGGAGGACGAGAGAAAAACCTCACAATGACAATTTCCTCACTATCCTACCCCGAGAGGGAGTGCAGTTTGTCAATGGAGGTGATGATCGATTTAAATATATCGGGAATTTTAACAACAAAAATGGAACTCTCCAGTTATCCAATGTTGCCTCTACTGTGAGTGCCACAAACCACAAAAATCTTTAACAATTAAGTTTTATAACTTGAAATGCAAATATGAATTGTTAGATTTAACAGAAAATTATTGACAAATTTAGCAAATGACAAAGTTCTATAACAGCTTTTGACATGCAAACAATGCCTCAATTTTTTTTCATTACACTACATACTAATGATTCACTAAAATACACTCTGTTAAATGTCCCAAATTTATCAAATTCCAAAACTTATTGATATCACTCTCTCTTTCACCACTGTCACTTCAACAATGTCCCCATATTTACACACACACGCACACACAGCAGATAAGTATTGAACACATCACCAATTTTTCTAAGTTAACATATTTCTAAAGGTGGCACTGAAATGAAATTCTCATCAAATGTCATTAACAACCCATCTAATTCACACGTGCAAGGAACCATAACATGCCATACCATCAAAACCATTGAGGTCAATAATGCACCAAGTCACAGCAAAAGCTGTTTCAGATTTGTTTGTCAAGTATAAAGGTTATTTGTGACCGACATGCTTGACGTTAAGATAAATGTAATTTATCTTTCCAGTCGTAAGTCATTGAATATAAATGGGAAATGGCAGAGGAGGAGGTTTGCTGGTCACACCATCAGCAAAAATAATGGAAGTTGCAATGAAAGTGAAAAGCAGGCTTATTCAGAAGTGCATTATTGTTATTGATATGGTACAACTGTGGGGTCCTGTTTCTGGTTGATTTTCCATGTAATGTAATATTCTTTTTTTCATCATCAAGGTGATTATAAATTAGCCAGTCACAACCTTGTTACTGTTTTTGTCTTGAAAAGATTGACTGTTTTGTCTGATGCAATGAGACCCAAACATTTGTGAAACATTACTTCGATATTATTACTATGTCCTCAATTCAGGATTAACACAGTTTTCTGTCTTTTTTTTTTTTGCAGTCTCTCCCACAGAAGTGAATATTAGAATGATTACACAAGACTCATTTGAGTGTGTGACAGAATCCAACCCAAGTGCCAATTTTATCTGGAGTAGGTAAAGTAATTAAGAGAAGAAAAACTATATATATATATATATATATAGATAGATAGATATATAGAGATATAGAGATATAGAGAGATAGATAGAGATAGAGATATAGATATAGATATATATAGAGAGATAGAGAGAGAGATAGATAGAGAGAGATATAGAGATATAGATATAGAGATATATGATATATAGATAGATAGATATATATAGAGATATAGATATATCGATATAGATATATCTATATAGATATATAATTCTGCTGCCTCTGTACAGTTCATGTTGAGCCTTGTTCATGTTTTCCCAGATCTGGCCAGACTCTGCTGCAGTCTTCTATCAAAGTCGACGGTGCACAGCTACAACTGCTGAGTCTGACCTCTGATCTAAATGGCCTCTATCAGTGTGAAGCATCTAATGCATATGGAACTAAACATGGTCAGCTCTATGTGCATGTGGCATCAGGTGAGGTCAGCTTGGATTTAGCTGTGCAGTTTGTCCAAATCTTTCTGAATTTTAATTTGAGCCTTTGCTGGTGTTTCTTCATTCTAATGTTTTTCTGAAAACCAGCCAGCTTAAAGAGGTGGTTGGTTTAAGACATTGCCAGCATTAAACGTAGTGTTAATGAATGGATGAGTGAAGCTCCACACATAGCAAAATGATATTAAAGTCAGCTCCATCACTGGAAGAACATGTCCTAGCAAATAGTTCTTTTCATGGTCATTTGTCTCAGAACCTTTCAGAGCATAAAAGTTTTAGAATGTTTGGTACAAGTGCTGCATGGTGTTTGAACAATGTCTGAAAAGACTAAAACACCATGAAGGAGAGAAAGGATTACCTCATTCACACAATATTCTTTTTTTCCATGTGTGTCTGTAGGTGCATGCTCTGCTGTTTGGGCCCTAGTTGGTGCTTTGTTTTTCCTGAATGTTGTTGTTGCTGCAGTATGGTACCTTAATAAATCCAGGCAACTTCAAAGGTACTTCAAACACACACACACACACTCACACACACACACAGACACAATTTGACAGGTCACTGAAAAACTGTGTAAACTGCTTGGTTATTTCTTTAAAAATTCCAAATTGCATTTGCCGCAAAGTTCAACACTAACGATTCAACAGGGCACTGGTTTCTCTGTTACATTTCACTATAATCCTCAAATTAAAATGTATTTGCAGACAAAGTGTTCATTCACTGGGACACATTGACAGACTGTACAGGTTTGCTTTTATTGATATTGAGTTATGATTTAGGTTTTCTTGGCTTTCGTACATTCATCTTAGTTTGTGGCAAGTTTTCAGGTGGTTCAGTTAGTTGTGTTGCTGTATGGTGCCAACACAACTCTACAGCAACATGTGTTTATAATTTGATCTTAGTTAATGTCATTTGTCCCAAATAGAAAGTAGTTCCAGCCAGTGGATGATGATCCACTTCTCGGGATAAGCTCCTCGTGTTCTGCTTTGTCTGACATTTCATCTTTGTTTCATTTTTTAATGCCGCAAAATTTCCAGGCTTAACTGTAAGCCATGCATACTGTCTTATTTTTCTCTGGCGTTAGGTGTTTTCCATCACATGGTGATGGGCCTAGAGACCCACCATCTCCCAGGAGTGCAGGAGATGATCAAAGACGAGAGCAAGAACAACTGCAGGAAGTGAGCGAGGTCACCAACGGTTAATTTGTAGAGACGTTAAAGTCAAAATTAATTATGTTAAATATAAATTAATTAATATGTCTCTCAATATTTTGGTGCTAATGACTTAACTTACAGTTTTTCTCAATTGCTTCTGTGCAATTCTCACAGCAGAAAAGTCATTCAAACCACTCTTCATGCAATTCTCAAAACAGAGCATTTTTCATAACAGAGTCTCTTGTGCAAAAGGAACTACTACAATCAAAACCTTTCTTACATTGTTCAAAAAACGAATAGTCAGTCAGTCACTTTATCTCTGTGATGAATGAATAGAAACCTTTCACCACCCTTTAAAGACGTAGTCATCAAATTGTTTAGTTTTATTTTCCCTCAAAACCTTAAATGACTTTAGAAGTATTGCAAAAATGTAGGCCTAATGTAGTGTACACATATTTCAGAAACAAAAGTGAAATCCGAAGGATTTTAATATTTATTTTACAAAACTGATGAAATTGAGAAAAGCAAAATAATAATCTTTAAACTATATGCAAAAGAAAACAGACAAAAATAGAATAGTGAGACTGACTTTTCTGCTCTGAGAACTGGGCCAAAGCAATCGAAAAAAAATGTAATGCAAAACTCTCTGATATGGTGGAGATATGTTTATTTTTTTTTATCATTTTATTAAATCTGCCCTTCTTTTTTAAATAGTGTGTTGAATATTACAGAAGTATTACTATTCTTTGTAAAATCGGCAGATACACAGAGTCTTTGCGTGTTTGTTTTAAATTCAATGCAGGTTTTTAAACAATTGTTCTGAATTCTCTGCCTCAGCAATCCCTCTGACAGTTGTGGAAGCCAAAGATGGAAAATATCTCAACTGAAGTTTCTACCAACATATTATTCTAGAGTTAGCTTAGTCTTTTTAAAAAGGCCATGTTGTGAAACAACTTCACATGTAACTGGAACAACCGTTAGGATGTGGTTTTAACTGTCTGTTCTTCTATTGTCATGAAAAGCTTTAACTATATTTGCCATCTGTTCTTGTGTTTCCACCAACTTGTCAAAAGCTTTCATCATCAGTGAAAGCTGTTGACAGCTATAGTAATGTGGTTACTGTAAATTCATGAATGAAAAATCCACCTGCCTTCAGTAACACCCTTCCCTAAGGGTAACAATAGAAGTATTTAAGGTTATAATGTACAATACTGGCCAATTGTGCACACATCAACCATTCATATGGAATTACATGTTTTCCTTTTTTGTTTGTGCCTATAAAAGCACTATGACAGTATCCAGTCAGTGTGCTAGCACAGCTGCAGCAGGTGTGTCTGCATTGAAGCTCTGGCTGATGTTCTTTACTCCTCCTGATAACACGAGTCATTAAGCTGCAGTTTATAAAACCCACAGTGTTTGTATCAGAAACACTAAATGAATTACCAGTACAATACAAAAACTCACACAGAGAATAGCTTCACTGCACACTGTGAATGGTGCTAAATTTCTCTTGTGCATGATGATGGTGCACACACTTACTCCCCTCCAGTAAAACTACTACATAAAACTATAATAAAACAGGCCTGCACTTGTCTGTACTTGCCATGAATGTACAAGTTTTGCTCTAATAAAACAAAACTTACACATGCAAGTAAAAAAAAATCTTAATCTTTATTCATGTATTTACTTAAATGAATGTGCTGATCAACAGTTAATAAGAAACCTGAACAGAAAGCCCGAGTATATGAACAGATTTCTTATAAACTTATGGGAGTATGATTAAATACTCATTTTTAGGTAATGATAAAATACTAAAAATGGTAAATTTAAAATTTAATATTATATGAATACAAGACTACATAGTGCATTAAGTAACAAATGCTAAGTTACACAAATGCAAATGCACTCTCTTAATTTCTTATCTTTTGTTGTTCTGGTTCAGACCTTTAACTTCATCCGTTCAGCCGAGCTGACTTATTTAAATAGACGGGTCTAATAAGTGTGCTGACTGATAAAGAGCTGTTTTTACTTCACTGTTATGAAAAGTGTGTCATCATAAAGACGGAAACTGACTGTAACTGATAATTCTGTTCGACATTGGCTTACGTATTTCTGCAAAGCTTATGATGCCTGTATTTTCCCAGGAGCTATCACTTGGATCTCTGTTTCCAGAGAGCCAGACTCGCTCTACAGTGTTTGCTGTAAGCTGCTTCGCTTTCCAAAATGGTTAAAGGCATGTTTAACTTCTGTTGACACACAAACTTTTCAAGTAATGTCAGTGAAACTCTTTGATCATCTGTTTTGTGCCGACTTTTATTATGAGTATACAAGCTAACGACAGGAGGCAAAGTCAGCAAAAAACAGAATATGTGACATGCGCAGTTTCTAAGGTCAAATTTAAGTTCTGTATTACATGCACTACAGAAAAGCAGTGAAATACTGTGAAAAACAATGTCAACCTTCAAAATGCACTCTCAGCTGCTAATCTGACTTTTCCTTGACCAGTTTAAGAAAAGAAATGGCTTGATAGTAGGTCGATAGACCATTTTTCACAAAACTGTATTCGGTATATGAAGCTAAAATTTCACAGCATGTGTGTTTAAACTTTGGCCCATAATTTTTACCCCCAGACGTAAAAAGGCTGATGGAGTATTTTGACCAGTTAGTTAACCAATCAACTATTTGCTGCCAAGTTTGTGTGTCAAATGAAGATATGTTTGTATTTTAATTGTGTAGGTTACATTTAGCTAAATTCATCTTAATCCTTTATAGCAATAGTTACACTAGTACGCGTTTTTTAACTCTAAACTTTAAATCTCTAAACTTGTTTATTGAAAGAGTCAGCATTAATGAATAAACTGTGCCTTGTCTTTTCTCTCATTTACACATGTACACAGGGGATATTTGTGAGAGCCATTTGACAACATGTCCTTACACTACACATTAAAACAGTCTTCTCAAACTGTGGAGCTGGTGGTGCGACTACTGTAGGGAATAATTAGCTGACATTTCAGAGAAAGCTGGAGAATTACTTTGTTAAAGCATTACACAGTCAGGGTTCCCTGCTTTTGGAAAGCTATACATCATATCAAATCATATATCATACACCTGTGTCTCAGATGGTTGTACTTTTCAATTTATTTAGGTTTTTGTGTGGCAGCTTTTTTTAAGCATTCAATCACTAAAGTGTGTTGTTTGATCTGTATTCTAAATTGACCAATTATAAATCATTTGGTGTGCTTGCTTTATAGCTTGTGTCTTTTTATTGTTTGCTTAAAATGAAACTTTGTTTTGTAATTGCTTTTATAACATGTTACACTGCTGAAATACTTTTTGTTATCATTTTTCTTCAAAAGTAAATAATCATGCATAAAATCAGTACGTTCCTCTCCCTCAGTATATATATTCAGGTGTGTAAACCCCATCTGTGATCCTTGATATTGAATTCCAGTTGGACGTTTTGGTCTTGTGGAGAGAAGAAATCCAATGTGGAATTTTCTGGCATCTGTAAAACATGGTGGAGGTTCTGTCATGGTATGGAGCTGCATATCAGTCAGTCGTGTTGGCGATCATGTCAAAATTAATGGAGTTATGAACAAAGAAAAGCACCATCAGTTTTAGATCCACCATGAAATTACATCTGAAAATAACCTGACATACAATGGATTCCCAAATGGACTCCCAGTGCATTAAAAGCACACCTGGATAGAAAACTACACAATGGAATATTATCAGTGTATTCACCTGTCTGAGGGAGAATGCGCTCTATTATCTCAGTAGAGTGGGATGAAGTGGGAGAGAAGGATTCACCATGATGGAGTTTGGTTGCTTTCTCACAATACCACCAAAATATCATCCAGGTGACAGCGAGCACACTGCATCAGCTAGTAGCTCATGCCATCTCCCGAACTGACCAGTGGTCACAAAGGTGTACAAGCAGGGGTTTCAGACAGGAAGATGGGATTGGTGGGGTTATAAGAATCAGAATACTTTATGAATCGATAAGGAAATTATAGGTAATTATGAGCAGTTGACGACCCTCCTTTCATTTAGTATTCAGGTCAGTGGTGATCCAGGGCTTGTTGTTGGAATTATGGTTCATATATTTACCTAGGCAGTGATCTCAGTGATGCAGTCTATGATGCTGTTTATGCCATCCTCACGTGGATCCTAGAATACGCCCCAGCCTGCAGTGTCGACGCAGTCCTTCAGGCACTCACTGACTTCCTGACTCTCTCTCCTCACAGACTGTAGCCAGAGGGAGTCTTTGAATGACAGTATCCAGTCAGTGTGCTAGCACAGCTG